AGAAAACTCAGAAAACGCCCTCATATGTAGGTCCTTGGGTAGGCATCCATTTAACTGAATTTTGAAAAATTCTGTTTATTCTCTTCAATGGTGGATAGTTAGGGATGGAGAGGGAGTCTCAGGAATTGCCTAAACCAAAAACTGACAGTGCTGGTACGTTCTCTAAATGTGTTTTAGGTACACATGGCTCCCTAATACAGAATCAAAAACCTCAAAAATGGTTCAAGTGCTAGTAGAGGGGATTTGATTCACTAAATYTTAACTTCCACCTCAGGAAAGCATCCCCAAAGGGCTCTATGAACTCTTACTACCTGCTTGTRAAATTGCAAAGAGACAGAATCAAAAGAATCAAAAAGAGTGTTAATTCTCACTTCAAAAAGCAGTATGATTTGGAAAGCGTGCACTGATTAAAAATTAATAAATTTTCCACATGTAGACTTTCATTTTCACCTGAGAAGTTTGCAAAATACAACCAAAGCACACAGTGGCACCAGCAGGGATTGTTAATGGCTCATTGCTGCCTCTTCCAGGTCTCTGGGACTGAAATCTGGTAATTACAGACACCTCTAAAATGGGGGGGCCTCTGGATAAATTAATGAGAGCATTACAAACTCAGTCTATGGTTTATGATCCTGAAGACTGGAGAAGATGAATTTGAATAAGATCCTTGGGAACAAGGAAATTTGGTGTTCTGACCTGGTGTCTGTGTCCTTCTGCTAYAATTTTTTTGCTTATCTAAAATTAACTTCATAAATTTGATTTTTTCTATTTCATGGAAACATTTCAGCATCGACTCTGTGAACTGTTGCAAATGGTTTGGAGATGCAGAGTGCTGGGGCTGTAATTATCCAAAATCAATGTGGGTGAAAAAAATCYGGGATATTCAACTGCTGTAAAAGGACCTTCCACCAGAATAAAAGAGCAGGAACATTAATGCTTAGAAGTGGCTCTGTTTGACTAAGAAAATGCCATTAGAACCAAATATTTATGACTAAACACACTTGAATAGAAAACATACCGAGAAAACTCTTGGTGGTTCATTTGTGAAAAGCTGGGTGAACTGTAGCCCTGCAGTAATTATGTACTGGATATCACAGCCAGAGAAGCTGGAAACCACAAACTGACTTCCTCATTCCTCCTCCTTCCTCCAGGAGTGGTTTGGATTAGGCAGTCAGCTGAAATTTCCAAAGCACGTCTTTTCTTACCGTGTGGCTGCAGCACATCTCCAGGCACTTCTTGCTTAGATTCCCCCTAAATCCTTTTTTTTTAAATTTTTTTTGTTTTGTGAAAAGAAAAGTTTATCCATGGATTGACTCAGTAAATCCTCCCCAAGTTCCCTCTGCATGTGAGCACACGCAGAGAGGAAAGCAACTTAGGCACTAAAAAAAAAAACCCTGGGCAGCGTTGAACTCAGTCCAGCAGCTCTCCGGTTCCTTGTCCCGAACAACAGATATTCTGTATCACCCAAAATTAACAAACAAAAGCCATTTTCCCACGCCATTATATATTTACATTAGCCTTCTCTCCGGGCTTGGCATGCTGGCTCCCCCAGATTATTTGATCCCAGATGCAGCTCCGTGCCAGAAGTGCTGGAACAAAAACGCAGAGGGTGGACAAACCTGTCCTGCTGCATTGCTCGTGGCCTTTTTAATAACAGAGAGAGCATTTCTGACTCATTAATGGAAATGCACCACCAGTGATGGCTCTGACTGAGAGCTCCTGGCCTGCTCCAAAGCTTAACAGGGGTGCAGATCAAGTGCACATCATGACACATGGGCTGATAGCAGCCAGGGGCAAATATTAAGTAGCTTATCTTTTAAAGAGAGAGATAAGGAGGAAGGGTTGGGAGGTGCTTGCCAATAAAAGTGTATTTATCACGGCTGTAGGGCTGGCAATGGTGAAATGCAGGATTTYTGAGCTCTGCCCTTGCTCCTGGCCTTTGCCAAGGGATTTAGAGSTAAATTAGACTGCTTTTCAGAGGAAAGAGAGGTTTCACACCTATCCACACCTAACCCAAGCAGAGCAGCTTGGGTTAGAAAAGGCTCTGAAGTATTATCTACATCCAATTCCTCTTCTGCTTTCCATTAGTCATAMAAAAAAAAAAAAMMCAAAAACCCAGACAAATAAAAATAAGAGGTCTCATCAGGCGTTATTGTGGTGCTGATGGCACAGACATATGGAAAAAAACGTAGAAAATTCTTGTCCCTGTATTTCAGTAGAAGGCTACAAAATCCACTCCCCTGGAAAARGGAGAATTGAGGAATGAGTTATAGAAACAGTTCTGAATATATGCAGTGATTTTTCAGCTATGCACACACAGACATATTTTTATATATTTACATGTATCTGTGTGCGTGGAGATACGTGTGTCATGTGAATGCATTTTAGGCGTTTAATTTGGGATATAATATGCAATTTGAAGACTACRTTTTTTCCCTCTCTCTGGGTATTTAAAAATATATAAAAATCTTTCTGGCCTATTCCTTTAACTGTCATGGAATCAGAGAACTCTCTTTGAAATCATTTCTGTGGAAAACAGTTGTGAATTCAGTGAGGAGCTGGAGATTGGTTGGAAGAGAGGAGAGGGTGGCATTAAAAAGGAAAAGCAAAGCAAGTTTCACTGACATTATAGAGTATCTATTCCACAGCACAGGAAATAACAAAGCTTGCACTTTAAAAAGCCTCAGGAAAATAGAACTGGTGCAAACGCAAGAGGGGAAATGGAAGTTCARTGTTCGCATGACACAATTTTTGGTGCTTAATTTCAGCAGATAAATTACCCAGCGTTATCTTCCTAGAGTTTTTCTGCAGTTGAGAGGCAGAAGGTCTGTCAGGGCTGAACTGAGCCCTCCCTGGAGAAAAATTGCTCTCCCTATTGTCGAGGGACTCCAGAGAGGCCGTCACTTCCCTGAACCCGCCTTTGGCTCTTTCAACTTGAGTGGTGTGAATAGTCTTCAAAATGCCTTTGGGTTTCCCTTTACCCRAAGATTGAGGGAATGCTCCTTTTCATTCTCAGCCACAGGAATTAAACAATAAGATCAAAATCGTGTAATCTCCTTGGGAATTCCTTTTAGTTGCATGGGGATCTAAAATGCAGGGTTTTCCCTAAATTGCTGGGCAAATGGAGGCAGAGGCTAATCATACAGCTGGCTTTCCATGCAAACATTTCCAGCGCCTGCTGCGGTTTCCAATTGTTTGGGATCGCCTGTGAAGCAAATATCTTAATCGTTTTTATTACCTAGGCATAAGTTTAAATCTCATTAAACCGTTTTTTTATTGATCCGAGCATGTGTTCGTATCAGGAATAAGAGGACCTGSAAACAAAGAGAACTTTAATATTTCAGGTTTTTGGTCCTGAAAAGGACGATCAAAACAGGCTCACGCTGGGCTCTCCAAACAGCTAATAATTAGTATATTGATTTTAGTAAAAAGAGCACAACTAAAGGTTTTGGGTTTGCAGTCGTGCTATTCCCTCTGTCTCCGTGCTCTGTGGAAYACATTGGAAACAACCACCATGTATGATGTGAAAAATGCCATTCTTCACAAAAKAAATCTTTTAAAGCAAACATGTCTGTGCCGCAGCAACGTGCAGGGGGCAAAAGCCCCAAATCTCCATTTTAAAAATCAGATGCAAATTTTAAATTTGCGAATGTATTSTCCCTGCCAGAAAACCATCCCCTACCATTTCCTAATGCCAACTAAAACAAACACGAAAAAAAAMGATTCTTGCCAGCCTTGGGATAGGCTTGTTCAAGTGGGAATGAGCACAGATACAACCAGGGACTTTGGATTTGAGGAGAAATGAGTTTGTGGGTGAAGCTCAGCCTGMAGTGCGGTTTGTTCAGCACACAGGAGGTTTCTTACAATATCAGCATCACAAACTGGAATTGCTTACAACTTCCCCTGCCTTTCCAGCTTTGATGTTTGCTCCCTGCGGCATGGTTTTTGTTGTGTGCATCCCACATCTTGTGGCCATGGCTCGKAGAGAAGAATGTGGGGTCTTTCCTGCGCCGTTCGCTGCATCGCCTTCGCTGTGGGAACTGTCACTGCAACAAAAGCTCTCGAGGGCTGCAAAGGAAACGTGCACTCATTCTGTCCTGTTATTAAAATTGCTATGAATGCAAATTAGCTTTGCAGAAAGCATTTCCTTCTGAATGCCACAGTGCGTTATTTGCACGGCAAAGATGCTATAAGAGAAAGTCTGGATTTGTTACCTTGAGCATCACTTTGGGGTCTTAATCTTCAACTAAGAAAAAAAAACCCCATGGAAATATGTTTCAAACTTCGGGTGAACTGCTCACAACATGCTTTAGCTTTGTTAAAAGGTTTGCAAAGCTTTTGATGAGCCTCATCCMGTTTCCAGATGTCATCGTAGAAACGAATGTGATATTACCCTGTGCTATAAAAACTTCCTGCAGTTCTATTAACAAGTTTCCCATTATGTAATTAGAGAGAAGGTGCAGTGTTTTCTTTGGCATCTGTGGGTAAAATGCTGTGCATATTTGTGCTGCTGYAAACCCAGGCCAACTCCGTTCATTTTAATGAAGTTATTTTGGACTTAGTTCACGTAGAATTTCACTATAGCTCTCTCTATATCTGGATATCTTCCCTGAGGGGTAAATAAAGCAAATGTTGTACATTTTCTTTCGATTTTGTACAGGAAGGCGCTATACTCAGTATCAAAGAGGTTGTAACTATTCTAACCAAGGTAAACTCTGTAAAATCCTCCAGGTTCAGACTMAGGCAGCATTTTGCATTTTCAGATGTGTCCATAACCAGCTTGAATATCCTGGAGCACGGACAGGTGCCTAAATCAGGGCCTTCCAGCTCTGTTCTGCACCTCTTACTCCTCTGTTTCCTAATCTGTTTTCCATGTGAGTTTCRTGGTCAAGCACCATTTCTGAGTTGGATGCCACATTTCTGTCACAAAACATTTATTCCACCAAAAAATTCATCTTTTCATTGATGAATCCTCTGGTAGCAGCAATGCTGGTGCTGCTTTCTCTGTAGCCCTGGTGTAGGCAGATGGTTTGAGACTGATACCATACAGAGTCATGTTCATTTCTGCTTTTCCCAAAATTCAAAAACTGCTTAGGACTTGGAATTTGYCTATCATTTCTCATCTGTACAAAAATGGCCTTTGCATAAGACCTTGTTGCAATTTTTTTTTCTCCTAAACAAAGAACAAAYAAAAGGAAAAGGAGCTAGAAGGGGAAAAATTAAGTTTTAATGGAAACACATTTCAATTTTTGTTTTCTGCTTGCCATAAAACATTAACATAGTAAACAAATTGATCTTTGCTCTTCAGTTCTTTAATRACATAAAGTATTTTGAGTTTTGTCRTGGCTAAGGTATGGTTAAATCACATGTTGCTGGTCGTGTTCCAACCTCTATCATCACAGGTCTTTGACATCAAACTACATTTTTAAAAATAAAAATTGTGTGTAACCCACTTCCATTCACAGACACCTTTGTTAAAAGTCRTCGTTTTGGGGGGTGTTTCAGTACATTAGTGGTAACGGTGTTTTCTATTTCAAAGTCCAAGCATTCCCAATGCCAGCCCCTGCTTTGTGCCATGCAGCAGCTTTTGGGATGCTGCACCTCCACATGAGCAAAGCTTTAGTGGGATGCTCTGAAACGTTACATTCTAGACTGCTAACCCAGTCCTGGGACTGTTACAGTGGTCTTAAAATAGCAGAAAGAGCTATTTCAAATAGGGGTGTGGATAGGAAAGAGAGAAAGTGTCACTTTGGTCCACTTTTCAGAGTGGCTGGTGTTATAATATATAACCTTTTTTTCTTTTTTTCTTTTTTCAACGCAGTGTAGTTCGCAATAATTTAAAATACTCTATAGACATTTAAACGATATACAATAATATAACTTAATTGGATTCCTCAATTGTACTTAACAAATACTATTCTAACATATTTACAGCATCTAGTACCATAAGACTGTGCATTCCTGTGTTTGGGAGCTTTATTTGCTTCCTGTCCAGAATGTGGTGAAAGAACAGTATTATCACTATTATTCAACAACAATACCCATGAATCCAAGGGACTTTCAACTATATGGAGTCAATCTGGTATTTTGGGGGTCCCTGCTGACTTCTGTGAAGTGGCATTTAGGAAACAACAGCAATATAGAGAAAAATAAGCAATTTTGCATTGCTCTGCAATTGGGGGAGCTGTCAAAGGGGCCTGATTTTCAAGGATAAGTGCTTGGGTCAGAAAGGGCAGGTCCTCATGAGCGTTCAGATGAAGATCCCCAGGTCATYTGTTGTTTTTGATGATGTGGGGCTGCAAATTGCAGAGGTAATTCTGGCTCAGTCACATCTCCAGCACTGGGCCCGCCAGCCCCCGGCCCCAAGAGCACCACGGGGATGAATGAGAGATTCTGTGCCATGTGGGGAGGGCTCGTGGCTCTGCACCCCTCAGTTACAGCAATGAAATGGAACAAAAGCTAAAAAATATACAGATGTGAGGAAATTTTTAATCCACACTTTCAGAAAGTCGGGTGGGACCCTYGGGAGAAGCAAACGGTGATGTGGTTGGATGGGCTGTGTTGTAAGTGGGCACACCTGGGCTCTTGGGGTTAAAACACTAAATTTTACAGCAGTAAAATATCTGAGGCTGCTTTAAAAACCCCTCGTAGGGAAAAAGGTGTGGGAATTAGGATTGAGTGCTATTAAGAAGTAAGATTCTTTCTTTTAACATTCATGTGCTTACATAACAAGGGGGTGCATTATTGCCAACCTTAAAATAACGATGACATGGGCTAACCCAAATTTTAGCTTTCTTATGCTTGTGAAGCCACRGCAGCTCAGAGCTGCCACACTTTTATTGACTTCTGAGTGCATTCTGGGCATAAGTTATTTAAAACTCTTGGATATATTAACTTTTAACCATGAAAGGGAAAACACAATGCCTGGAAGATCCTGCCAGTGCATTTGATGGCAAAGCAAAACCTTTGACATTTGTCGAAGCACATCTTTGTATCCTAAAACTCCCTACRAGGAGCTGAGAGCAGGTGCTCCACACCTCAGGCCTGAGTGTAAAAAAAAAGTCATTCAGGAGGCAAGCGGGAACAGTCAATATCAAACATTGGTGACCGCAGTTTTGTGTGGCGTTTTCGCTCATTTCTGGCGATTCCTTAAGGTCTACAGTAATTGAACTCTCTAATAGTGGAGTGACAACAAATCAGTAGCATTGAAGAACTTAGGGAGAACCAAATACAAAAGTCATAAAGTCAGAGTTCCAATAAGTTTACATTTAGTACAGAATTAAGACATAGCTACCCGTTAGTGCTTAGAATTTTTTGATACTATTAAAAACATAAATAATTATTTTTAATGTTCATTCAAAGAGTTCCAGTGTCACTGGCAGCTGATGTAATTTTCTGAATGTTTGTCGGGGTTTTTTTCCAAACTGATAGTGGAGTGTTTCTGCCATAGGTTTTGCTCCCTACCAGTTGTTTTCTCTCTACCTGCTTTCTTAGAAATTTTGGGTTTTGCAGCAAGAATGCTATATTCTAGTCAGTGAAGATTTCATTTCCTTAAAAAAAGTCTTTGTTTGCACAGGGCTAGACAGTTTTGTTGCTGTAAAAGAAGAGAAAGTGTCTTTTTCTTTCAAACGTCACGGGAGCTGCGATGCAATCAGCTTCTCTGGTAGGTATAACTTAAAACAGTAAGACAACTCYACAGATTGTAGGTTGTTTAAAAAAAAAATAAAAAAAAAAATTAAAAAAAAAGAAAAGAGAGACAAAGAGAAAGTTTGATGTGGTTGTCAACATCACCTTAATCCTGTTGCCCTCGTTTCCAAAGCAGTTACAACAGCCAGCCAGCCAAAATGCACCATCCTTAGGAGSGTAGTAGTGGTGGGGAGGGAGTGGTTGTTGTGGTGTCGGCCGGGGTTCTTCCCCCGRGAGGATCAGATGTGCAAAACGATGCTGTCGCTGTGCTCGCACTCCGCCCTCCYGGCCGTTATTTGCAGGTGAACACCTCTGTCCTCTCGCTGCACGTGTTGCACTTGACGAAGCAGCACCAGTGGAATTTGCAGTTGCACTGCCACACCTTGGTGTACTGGTGCGTGTTGTAGCCCCGGCCGCAGCACATCATGTCGCAGCCGTCCGCGTTGGGCGACGTGCGGTTGCACAGCCGGCCCTGGGTGCCCACGCTCCCCGTGGAAGCGTCCTCCTCGCAGTAGTTGGGTGATTTCTCGATGTACACTAAATCCGTTTCCATGGGTTTCTGGTAGCTCTTGATCTGTTTGATCTTCAGGAAGGTGGGCTGCCTCAGCCGGCTGGCCCGCACCACCTCCACCTGCACCGCCGCGTTGTATTTCTCTTTCAAAATATATCCGATCTCTCTGAATTTGGGGAGCGTGGTCCAGCAGGTCTTGGTGGTRCAGGAGCCYGAAACTCCRTGGCATTTGCACTCCAGTTTCATCCTCTCCTCGAGAACCTGGTGTACAGACATTTGCACATTGTTACTGCAGGGAAACAGCACCGTGAGCCCACCTAAACCTCAGCCTGTTAATTCATACRAATATTCATCACTGCTGGCTGAAATTTTTTGAATGCATGCTTAGAAATTGTCTCACCTCTCAGCAGAATGCTCATAATACATTTTGTTTTAAGTGGCACCTGGTTGAAAATACAGTGTTTTGWTGTTTTTAATTTTTTAAAAAACATCTCTGTTCTGTTTTTCAAATATTGGAAAATACCTGCTTACATTTCACAAGACATGTCTTTAGAGCCACAGGGGACTTAAATTTTTTTTCAAGCCATTTTCATTTTGAAAACAGAAAAAAATAATGGGGTTAAGGGGTTTTTTAGGTGGCATAAGATTCAGAATATTTAATTGCTTTAAGTAACAATCAAAGAATTTTTAAAAAGAGCATTGTATACTGTGTGACTGAACAGGCACACATGCAGGAAGAGGRAACTACATGATCTCTGAGGTCCCATCCAACCCAAACCATTTTATGATTCTATATTCACTGCATAATTAAAGATTTTGCCTGCATACCTATACCTATAGCACCATTGGTAAACTTATGGACCATTCTACCCACAAAATGGAACTAAGCACCACTGCAGTATTTAGTCCAACTATTAAGTGAATAATCAGCCAGAAATCCATTTTTTTTCTACCAGGGCAATGATTACACAACATTACMGGGGAAAAAAAAATCCACGGAAGGGTCCTGCTCGACAGTGAGCGAAAGAAACGCATCGCTGTGGGGGAGGAGGTGGGAAGGGGCCCAGATTGGTGGGGTGTGGCTCTCCCACCCCTCTGTCCACYCCAGGATGGACACAGCCCCCGTGTYSGKCCAGGCTGTGCCGGGGAAGGCGAGCTCTGCTCTCCCACCCCGCGCGTGCGGCCCCGCGGAAGCGCCTCTCTGCTGCTCTGCCCTCGCGCTACCACTTAAGCCTGACCATAATTGCRCCCACAGTCATCATTAGCTTATGAAAATCAAGGCCTAAGAACAAAGGGAACTGATCTTTCCCCTTCGCAGTGGGATGCTAACAAAGAAATATGAGCCACCAGGCTTGTCTGAAAGCATTACTGATGCTGCAGACCATCTCCTGTCGTGGTTTCGCTGCAGATCCCAGAACATGACTGAAATGGGCAAGGGATAAAAGGGCCGAAATCTGAGTACAATGGCATAATGAAGTAGGAGGGAGTAAAAAATGCTTACTCCTTCAGAAACTGGCCTTAAAATAAAAACTGTACAGATCTGGTTATCCCTGCAAATAGAGGGCACCCTCCTGAGTTGTTTGAGTTTCACTTAAATTGCATGGTTTGTTTTTTCCCAAATTTCTGGGGTTTCAATATTAAAGAGAATATTTGGTTTGGATTCTCCCTTGCCAACATACGGTAGCAAGTATAAGACAGCTGAGCAACCTATGAAGGAATCATAAAATATCCGGAGCTGGAAGGGACCCATCGAGCCCAACCCAGGACAGCCCCAAAATTCCCCCCTGAGCATCCCTGGTGTCCAAATGCTCCTGGAGCTCTGGGACAGAGCTGGGACCATTCCCTGGGGAGCCTGGGCAGTGCCAGCACCCTCTGGGCACAGAAAAACCTTTCATGATATCCAAACTAAGCCCTGGTCCAGCTCCAGCTGYTCTCTCGGGTCCTGTCCCRTCATGAGGAGCAGAGATYGGAGCTGCAGCCCCTGCTGAGCTCTGACCTCAGGCTGCTCATACCTGAGACCTTCTGGAGGCTTTTCCCAGCTCAAGAACAAATTATCCTGTCAGAGACAGAAAAGGTGTTTTCCAGCAAGGCTTACTGGGTTAAGGAAGAAATTCCTACAGCTGCAACTGCTCTAAAAGAAGAAAATCAGCAAGGCTGTGCTGATCTGGTGTTTTGTGGACACTGAAATGAACTGTGTCACCTTCCTGTCTTCCACACTGATAGAAGAGAACAGTTTCCACTTTCTGCAGCAGCAGCAGCATTTCAGCAGCAGTGAGGAGATGAAATGCATCATGACAAATTCCAGGGTCTTTTAGGGGTCCCCCTGTATCCATTTCAGGCTTTTCCAAAAAACCCCAAATAAGATTTCAGTCCTGTTCCACAAATCAGGGTTCAAACTGAAATCACCACAACTCTGCTGGTGTTTGGATGTGTTTGTAGGTCTGAATAAACACGCTCAGAAGCTGTGCTCGATATCGCTGGAAAGTGTTTGATTTTGTTGAAACCAACCCATTTCTGCAGCTTTCTCAACACTGTCAGAACTGCAGCAAAACTCACGGTGGGAGGTGTTTGGAGGAACCTTTACAGTAATTGTTTGCCTGTGTGTGTATTTGGTTGAGATGCTGATATATGTTTATATTATAATATGTATTATTTATAGACATCGCCTGGCAGTTTTGCAGTACAGTCTTCAGCGATTTTATCCTAACTCTTGGTTTTTTTGTTTTTTTTTTTTTTTTTTTTTTTTTTTTTGCTGTTACCTTTCTGAAGGTCCAGGCTTGTGATTCATTTTGGTGGGCAGAAATCTGATTTCACTGCTTTTTTTTTCAAAAGTTCCCACTGTCTGTGATGGTGGGAGGACTCGCAAATGCAAGCCATGCAGGCTCAAAAAAGCAGAAGTTTCAAAAAAAGTATTAATTCATGCTCCTGAAGCCAATCTCACAGGTTTTTCTAATTTTTTTGGAGGCTTCTCTCATGAATGTGGAATGCTTGGGGTTACAACACTGAGCAGAGGCCCAATCATCAGGTAGTTAAATTCCTGAATGCTATAATTTGTGTGCCCACAGTCAGCTGTGGGTACAAAATTGTGCCCAAAACCTTGGAGGTCAGGGAATACAAGGCCCAAACTAAGCAGATTTATAAGCAACGTTTTTTTCTCCCTCTTTCCACGCAGATGCTGCCGAGTGCCCCTCCTTGCTGAGCTCTGGCTCTGCCACAGGAACATCTCCACGCTGGCCATGGAGGTGCCACGGGGCTCCCAAAGCTCTGGCCCTGTTTGCCCAAAGCTCTGAGTGAAGAACAGCTCACATTTGACTTCTAAACCTCCCTCCAGCTCAGCTTTCCTCAGCAAAATTCCCACCACAGACCCTGAACCTTGGAGGTACTCATTGACTCAAAGCTGAGCCCCCGTGCCAAGCTCGGTGCTTAATTAAAGATCAGAAATCATTAGCTGGCGGGAGGCGCTCGCCCCATTTGTCATGTCAGTGCCTCCTATCTAATCGGGAAGGGTTCACAGCCAGATCTGCCTCCCAGAGCAAATTCCCAGCGCTGGGCTGAGCTGCCTCACGCTAATCACAGAACATTCCTCAGCTCCCTTTTCCGCACACGGGCCYGCTCCCACCCCCGTGTTCTCTTGCCAAGTAAAATTTTCTAGCTACTGCTGCTTTGTTCAATGAATTGTGAAATACAACCTTAAAGCTTTCTTAAYCCCAYGTCTTTTTATACCTATATAAATCAYACRTTTAAAATGCGATTTGAGGGCTGCCCGCTGCCAGTTAAGTAGAAAAAGACTKGGGAAGACAGAAATAAACCAAAATTATATTCAAGAAAAGAAATTAATTTTGTCAAGTTCCATATCTAGATCCTACTGAATAACATCAGATACAGTTTCTGTGCATATTAAAAATCCTATCTGGACAAAGTATGCAAAAACAATGGTAACATTTTGTGTGTGTGTTTGTGTCAGTGTGTGTGTGTGTGTGTGTGTTCTGGCTTGCTGGTTTGCGTTTTCCTTAGTGGAAATTGTTGGATCAGATGTTGAGTGTAACAAAACCCATATAACTTCTTGCTTGAAGCATCAAAAAGAAATGAAAGACTTTCAGAGYTTGCCTCATCAAACATTCAAGCGATCAACTTTTTTTTTGGGTGATAACTATTGAAAGAGGCRGATTCTGGTCACGAGATGTCACCGCTGCTTTGATGTTGGTGCAGCTGCAGCCACCAGAGCTGGTGGCTCACTGGTGACGTGTGGGCACAGCTTGGGMTCCACCACTGCTGGCAAAATGCTGATCTCGTGGGCCCATCTGGGAATCCGGGCCCAGTTTGTTTGGGTTTGGGTTTTTATCTTGGACAGGCACGGGTGTAACTAAGATTAGTAGGGTGTAATGCTACTCCTCTAACGCAAATGTCCTGAAATGATTCTTTGTTAACAGCACATCACAGAGCCCAAAATGGAGCAGTTCAGCTCATGCCATGTCCCCTTGGGCTGTGCCCAGCTCTGACAAGAGGAGCCTGGAGCCAGCAGCAGAGGAACATGTTGTAAAAAGCAGCAGAGTAACATGTTGTAAAAAGCAGCAATCCTCAGAAAAAACGCTCCAAATCATCCCCAGTTCGCCGCGTTCCACTCTCTATGAAATTTGTTGCAAAACTCAAAAGTAAAATTTTAAATATAGCCTGAAATAGTTAAAAATATCTCAGTGGAGTTTAATTCTGTTGGGCAGAACAGTTGTGTCAGGTTTGAGACCTTGCAGAGATATTTCATAGATGTTTGAGATATGCATTACATGGTATGCATGGGCATGCACATTTCTTGAATAAAACCATTTAGCAAGTCCTAAAATATTTGGCTGCTCCCCCCTCTAATTTTAAAGYGAAATGTTCAAAAAGCAGGGCAGCACCAGATGTAGCTGCTGGCAGTCTGTGCTGAGGGTGTGTTTCTGGAAGGAAAAGATAGGCTGGGAAACCCAGCCCAACTGGAAGCAGGAGATCTACCCTCGTGAGATTTGGAGCCAAATCTGCATTTCCAGGACATATGGATAAACCCTCAGTTATCCATCCAACCCACCCAAGCTGGAAMACCAAACTTTCTGAAACTGGATTTACAGATCTGTCTGCAAACCAATTTAAGTGGGAAAATGGAAAGTATGGCACGAAGCTCAACTACTGAAAGCTTTTCTTTCAGGAGTGCTCTCCCAAGGGATGTGCAGTGAAATAATTTGTCGCTTTCAAAGAAAGAAACTTTCAGCAAATGATGKACTCGAGGCTGTCAAACCTGGAAAGTCACATTCTTTGCATGGCTGGAATGACTTAGGAAACAAAGTCACATTTTAAAGAATATTTTGGGCTTACAAGAGCATAAAATTAGTTGAAACTGAGATTCAGCCTCTGCTGTGACTTCAGAATATTTAATCTGGGTATTGCTTCTTTTTTTTATGTCCTGTCAGTGTGGGCAGCACACCAGGGCATGCTGAGCACCTTGCAGGAATGAATAGATTAATTATGATGCTTCATGTGAGGGGAAGGGAGCTAAAATTATCTCACATTATGTATGCACAGAAAATACATATAAATAGGTATAAATATGCATAATAATGTGCACACACACTGCATGTATTTATATCTAAGTATGTATAATATATATAATATAATATATATGTATAATATAATATATATGTATAATGTAATATATATGTATAATGTAATATATATGTATAATGCAATATATATAATATAATATATATGTATAATATAATATATATGTATTATATATATGTATAATGTAATATATATATATAATGTAACATGTATGTATAATGTAATACAAATATATGCATAATATAATATATCTTTTATATCTTTATGTTTAAATATAGATATAATGAATGGTAATCAACAAATCACCTCAGTAGCTTTTTTTCAGCCAGAGAAAGTCAGAAAATAAATCCTTCCTAGTRTTACATGCCTGTTGCACCAGAAACTGTGAGAACAAGGCATGGCTTAGATGGAAAAACTGTCCAAATAATTGAATAATCTCTTCTGAAGAGAGCCTATTTTTCCCCCACACCTTTACTGTATCAAAGGTGGAATAAGATGTTGTCATCTTCCAGGCATTCCAAAAAAAACCAAAAGGAATAAATACTGGGATGGTGTCAGGCTGAGCGATGGGTGAGTTTCTAGAAGGGCCAGCTTGCTCTCCACAGTCACTGTCTGTCCTAACTGATTGATAAACTGTCAGAAAAAATTCTGCTTTTTGGGAAAAGCTGCAATCTGCTACCAATTTGTCAGTTTGTTCTTCTAACTCACCCCATAAAAACAAACAGAAACCCCTGTTTTTACAAATGAGATGCCCCGAGAGAGGCGATCATTGTTTTGAAGCTTTCAACAAAAAGTGAAGATTAATGATGTGTGTTCCCAGATGTTACTCTAAGTTCATTTATCCCAGAATAAAGATATTTGTTTCTAAAACTACATGGCAGAAAGCTGTCTAATAAAACAGCATCAAAGCTGGCTTGGTTTGTTGGTATTTWATTTTTCATTACTCTGTCAAAGTTTTGCCCACAGATCTCTCTGCAATCTTTCAGATTTGCAGCAGGCCATTCTTTCAGAAATGTTTGTGTCAGACATGTGCTGGTCCTCYTCTGGGGGTTTGTTTTCCTTTGCCACACTTGTGCTTTCCATCCCAAATCACAGAGGATGTTTAGAAACAAATGGGGAATTTTGTTTTTTGTTTTTAGCAGCAGTCTCTGTAGGAAGCTACAAAAGCATATATTTCCTTTACTCTCCTGTCATGACCACTCTRTGGTTGAAAATAGATTGAAAATACCATTCAAGAACTTCTGAAGCAATGAAGGAATTAAAAAATGAACTGATTTGCTTATTTTTTTTCCTTCTTCCCTTTTATTCCTATTTATAACAGGGGAAAATATCCTTACTTTGGTTCTTAATAGCAGCAGTCATGAACCAGAACTTGGCTGGTTTTGTGTCAGGCTCACAGACCAATCCAGGCTTACCAAGGACCCCCCAAACTTCCACATTTCAGGTGAATTGAGGTCAGATTTCAAGGGTGCCTGGATTTTTGGAAGGGACTTGTGATTTCACACCAAAATCGCTGAAATTTTGTGAGAGTTCATAAATAATAGCTGCTTTTGTGAGGGTTCCAACCCAGAAACACAGAAAGCACATCCTAGGTTCCAGAGTTTTGTTCTAACCTTAAGTTTCAGTCACTCTTGAATTCAGAATGTCTGATTTATACACATAGCAAATGAACTCAGAACCAAAATCACTAAATATTGTACTGTAGAACTCTGAATATTAATTTCATGGGAATGTAAAACACCAACATTATTTTTAAACATGGCCTGAAAACCATCTTTGGCATTAGCACATTTCTCCAGATTTGATGGATTATACTTAAAAACAAAAGCTACACCAAATCCTTTCAGACAATCTTAGCTTTTGAAAGTGATACAATGAATTAAACCATAAAATGCCAGCAACAAACAAGTGAGTAAATTCAAAAATACTATTTATATCTTTTTTAAAAAATTGTGAAAGAATATACTGTCAGTACTGACAAGCCTTTTTATTCCTTTCTTAAAATGTGAAAATGTTATTTGTTTTTTGCAAAAAAATAAAAAGGTTTTAGAATTATTAAACAAAGTTAATTTGCATGAATGCTGCCACCAGAAATATCTGTAAAAACACTTCTTTGGTTTGCTTATGTCCCTCTGCTTATGAAATTCTGATGAAAAGTAAAATATGATGTGCTTTATAAGAATCAGCAATGTGGTCTGGTGGTTACTGGGCTGTATTTAGGATTGGGGGAGCCATGATCAGTGCCTGGTTCACAAAATGAGCTCTTTCTGTCCTTGGGACTTCCCTGCTCTCYATCTCAGCATCTGCTTTTGCTCTTTTGTCCCTTTTTCACAACTGAACTGTGCTGTGTTCTGAGCAGGATGCTTATCAGGGTCTGCAGGGGGTGGCACAGGATGGCAGTGAGCAGGGGGGATCAAAAAYCCAGCAGTGATAAACTCTCCCTGACACGTTTTAGGGTTGGCTTCCATCTGCTTTTGCCTCCAAACGCAATCGATGAGGCTGAGCTTTAGGCCCAGCCTAAAGGGAGTGATCAGAYCTGGAGCTGCTCTTCCAAGGGGATGATCAGCTGCTGCATGAGGCTCTTTTAGAGCCCTGGCWGCAATTTTTAGGGAAAAAAATTTAACCACTCAAGGCTGCTTTTCTGTTGGGCTCTCCAGCCTCCTGCACATCTGGAGCCCTCAGTGTCACTGAAATACCAATCCTGTCCCTACAGCTGAGACTGAGCCTCACTGCCCACATGGATTTTGTGCAATATTTCCACCCCAGAGAATTACTGCTCACAGAGCACCTCAGTTCCAGTGCACAGCCAGTGCAGCTGAGTGTTCATAACCCCAAAATCAGAAAGATAATTACACTGCTTCTGTCCCCACCAATTCCACCCTCTCTGCCCAGGGCTTAGTGCACGACTGAAAGCAAACATGATTTCAGAGGAGGAAATTTCAGTCTCACTCRAAGGACTAAAGGAGGAGGATTTGTTGGACTGGTATATTGGAATATTGGATTTTTCTGCAGTGCTGGAGTGGAGGRGCTTTTCCTGGGGGAAAACCCTTTGAAGGGTACAATCTCTCCTGAGGAAGGTGTATATTATGGAGAAATACTTGTTACATTTTTTGAGAGCTGTGAGGATTGTTATTCAGAGAACATAAATCAGCACAGCTCCATGATGTTCATTGTTTCCGTGGCAAGCAAACCAGTCATGGCTGTGGAAATGGAACTGTTTCTCCTTTTTATACAGATGTTTGCAGCCCAGAGGTGACAAAGGGACAGCTGTGAACACGCTAAGGAGTGCACTGTGTGCTGCTCTGTGTGTTTCTTTAGAGCTGGGATCAAATTTGGGTTTTGTTGGGCTCGCTATSTGGAAGTGCTGTGAGATTTGAGTTGAGTGTGGTGAGTTCTGTCTCATCACAAGCCCTCACATCCCTTAATGGATTTGTTGCAAATCAAATGCAAAGTAGCAATTTATTATTAATCCAAACGGATCCAGCAAGGGGGATCATCAGGGGGGCTGGAAGGAGGGTTTAGGAAGCAGAAATTTTTAGACAAATACCTGTAATAACACGGCCATCTCTGAATAACAATAAACAGCAAAAAAATAGTGAACAATAGGTGCCATTTGTTGTGGATGGGGGGTTCAGCAGACAGAGGGGTGAGTTCTCAGGGAATGCCAGCCTCCCCCCGTCCTCCAGCACACAGACCCCATCCCTCATCCTTTCTGGAATACCTTTCTTCCAGCCTCATTGTTGTGCAAGTTCATCAGCCTCCGGGCATTCTTTTTGATTTCTCGGGCATCAACAAACCTCCGGGAGAACTCAATGCCGTATCTGATATCCGCGGAGCAGCCTCCCCACTTCCAGCCCTCCTCCTGGTTGTAGTAGCCCTGTTTCTCTCGGTCACAGCCACAATTGCTGAGGTTGCCCTGGCTGCAGGCGGCCGTGACAGCGTGCGCGACCCCGGCTGCAGTAATGGCATAGGTGAACGCGGCTTCCCTGCTTCCTGTGGAGAGAAGCCAAAAGCTGATGGGATGGCAGAAAGGCAGTACGAACCTACTAAAGAAAGCACAAAAATCATCTACAGCAAGGGGAGATGGCACAGTGCGAGGAGGGGTCACTGCTCCGTGCGGGTTTCTCATCCTTACAGAATTCCGCTCCCACGTAATCCCACCACCAGAGGTTTGTTTTCACCAAAAAAGTCAGGATTGCAAGGTGAACTTTATCTGTTTCAGATGAATAAAATAAAAAGTGAGTTAACAGCTGCCTCTCAGCATTGGCACTGCATGGGGAAAGTGTTCAGGCAAAGAAAAATAAACCAGGACACAAATGGGGCTGATTATTAATSTAACTCTAGAAATGCTCCAATAGCATCCATTGGTGATGCTGAGTGTAAATTACTGTAAAATGGGGCTGATTRTTAATCTAACTCTAGAAATGCTCCARTAGCATCMATTGGTGATGYYGAGTGTAAATTACTGTAAGAGAGACCTATAGAGACAAGAACTGGCCAGGTTTCATTTCTTTCAAGGCAGAGGTTACCCCTTTCCCTTGCAGACTTCTCCCATGYGTTCGTTTTGAGTTACTTTTGCTCAAGTGACCCTTTTCCACCCCCACTCTGGATCAAATCTTTGCATGGTTATTGAGCTTACACRGGGCATGAAAGTGCTGTGGCAGCACTGTTTCCTCTCCAAAACAGGTGAGACGCTGTTGTGGAAGCATGGACTTGTTTAAAAAAAAAAAAAWATTAAAATAGCAGTTCTTTTGTTTTTTCCATGGAGCAGCTGATGATAATGAGTGTATGCAGAGATGGAAATAAGGCTCTTTTCTGTACTGGTTGGCTCAGGTGCCTATGACGTGCAAAGAGGTACCAAAGGATGGGAAGTGAAGCTCYAGTCCATCCCATGTGTGACCACACTGACCTCACACAGGGCTGGACMATGTCCCCAGGTGCTTTGCTGCTCTCATTTACAACATTTCCCCACAAGTTKCCCTCCCAGTGCTTTCCTCTGGTAATAAATACACAGTTCTGTAGTGCTGCAGCCAAAGAATAACTGTAAAGAATCTGCAGAAAGTTGCTGAAATGCTTTAATGACCACACACGATTTGGGAAGGAAAAAAAAAAAATGAACAAATTTTCCAGAGGAGGAAAAAAAACCCCAACCTAAAAGCTAGTTTAAATGTTTAAATTTTTGTGTTCATATATCTCGTGACTATTCTGGAATGATCACTCCAAGGTATGGGGGGATTTGTATTCYTTATTTTCACAGATAGCTTCCTGAAAGATTACATCAGATATGAGGAAGACCCTACAAGGAACAATCAGACCCCAGGGTTTGGCACCATGGGCCTCTCCTCTTCACTTGACAGATAAAATCAAATCTGGGACCCTTGTTTTAAAATGTGTCCTGTTGACWTGCAGGATTTCTTTCTTCTTTGTTTAAAAAAATTCTATTCTTAATCTGCAAATTGAAATATTGGAAGTATGAGGTGTAATAGACTCTACATGTATAGACAGATTTTGCTTTTCTTCAGGCTGGGGGTAAATGATGATGCCAATTCAGACCCAGTGAAAATTTTGGTTCAAACACTTTTGAAGGGCACACAGAAAGGATTATTAACAAGAAGAAACTTATTCCTGTGAGGGAACATGGCAGCTGTGACCCAGAGTTGAGTAGATTTACTCAGAGATTAACCAGTRACAGTCGCTCATATTTTCGTTTAARCTCAATATATTCTCCYGTGTCCAGAACATGTTTTAAAACATTTTATTGTTTATTCTGGACTTTGTTTTCTCATCAGTTTTCACATGTTACTTCCCTTGATCAGTTATATAAAAGGTAAGAATATCCTGTCTTTATCTTCCTTCTGCTCCCCTCATTCCCATCATACCCCTGACTGTCAACAGCAATAAAGGAAAATATCATTCCTTTACCTACTAAAGATCTATAGCAGAGATGGAATTAACTCAAATCATGGGATTAAATTGGATGGAAACCACACTAGCTCTCTGAAGAGATTACCCTCCTGTCTCCATGCAGCTCCAAAATAAGAAGGGCTCAGAAATTAGACCTGGCCTGAAAGCCAGGTTTCTTTAGCCAGTTAAATTGTCCTGCTAAGAACTAAGAGTTTTGGGGGTTGGTATTTTTTTAAGTAGAGTATGTTCTAAAACTTCACTTAAACTTCAGTGCAAGCATTACCTCAGCAGTAAAGTCCCAAAATGAGCAGAGTTTGTCAGAAACTCCTGTGCTCCAATAAYGCCTGCTCTACACGGAGCTTCCCATTAGCATGTCATCACTTGGARTCAGTTCTAAGCAAGTCTTTGTTAGGCAGCTAAAAATATTTAGGTAATGATTGCTGTGATACCTTCATGGAGAACAATAATCTCATTTCATGGAATTTCCTGAGATTTCAAAAATATTCTCGTTCTGCAGCAAAAAAGAGGCAAGTCTTTCCAGGAATGCTCGTGAAATGAAGACATAAGTAGAGGCAGATTTGGGATTTAACCCAACTTTGGGGCTAGGATTTTCATTTCCCTGTGAATATCCTGATTATCAGTTATTTGACACAGTATATGCTGAATTTCTGGGTCTCAGAAGAAAAATTCTCGCCTGTCTTCCTAAGGTTTTTTCTGTCCCATAGACAAGAAAAATTCTGTCAAAATTTTTTCATTTTGGTGAAAAAGGAATGGCTTTGGCTTTTACTGGAACTCTTGGATTCACCCATTTCTGTTAGAAACACCTGCCTTGGTATCAAAGGTGACAGTTCTGATTTAATTCCCAAAATGTTTTCAGGAGTAACATGATCTAATATCAGTGGATAATAATCACTCTGATCTGATAACAGTCTGATCCAATAACTCCAAAAGGAGATGAGCACCAGCATTAATTAAAATTAAACCTTTTGTCTTCACTGAAGGTACCCAAGGCCACTTCCAGCAATCTGCCAGGCCATCAGAGGAGTAAGTGGTTTGCCAACCTGAGTTATTGCCATTTTCTGAGTTGATCTGTATTCTAACAGGTGGCTGTCCAAAATATTGGACCACGGATTCCTTAAGTGGGTGTCCTCTGGCAGATGGGGTGAGAGGAGCCTTTATCATGGTTGGAGTCATGGAGTAGCCTTTATTTCCCCCCTCATTTAAATGTCATTTCTGACGAGGTTTTAGACTTCTAACTGAGCACTAAACTTAGATTGGTCTGATGGGGAAATTCTTACAAGTTCCACAAATTATTACAGTTCCAAAATTGTTATTTACCAGACTTGAACATGTACAGATCCAGCAGAGTATTTTCAGCCTGGAGCCACAACCAGCTGAGAATCACATAGGCCAAATAAATTTAAAATAAATAAATAAATAAATAAATAAATAAACAATTGATCATTCAGCTGTGAGTGCAGAGAGGAAGATTTAACTGTTCCACAGAAATTTGTGAGGCATCTGTTTGTCTGAACAACTGGATGAGAATTCTACTTGTGTCAGCASAGAGATGAGTAAGGCTGCCACTGAATGTCAGCTCTCAGAGCTGTAATTCAACTTGAAATATTGAACTGCAGAACGTGCATGTTTGGCCAGTAATTTCCTAAATCTCACATCAGCAGTGACAGAAGAAAGCACTACACACTGTTGTTAAACAAAACAAATTCCCCGTGCACTTACACAAGGCAGCAGATTGATTATGTGACACAATACAGCATGGGTCAGTGGGAAACAGAAATGAACCACAGCAGAACTAAAATTTTTTTGACAAATGTACCCTTTTCAACAAGTCTTGTGAGCTGATGACAGATTCAGTCATTTTTTATGGCTGAAGACAATAGATACATCAAGATGAGTAAACTAAAACTCAGACAACAGCACCCTGAGTASTTTTGGGTGAAGGCTTTTATAGACAAATTTATTTCCTTTGTAATTTTGCATTTTATTCAACATTTGCATTAGCAATTCTCAAGGAAAATAGTGCAGGCTCTTCTTTTTGGGATTGATCCAAGGGCAATACAAGTCAGAAGGAATTTTCTCACTGTCTGGAGCAGATCCTTTATTTGCATTTTCAGTGTAATTAACTTTGAGCTCCTTGGTTTATAAAAGCATGGATTAATTTAATTTTTCTGTTCCTCTGATTTTTTGTAGAGCAGAAGTGCTGCAGTCAGAGCTAAAGGCCACTGAAACCACTTTGTACAAAAACAGAAAAAGRCAGAAGAGCAGGAAACTCAGGAGGGTCTCTATGGAGGCTGATAAGACAGATGTTCTTCAGAACAGCTTTTATTCTTCTTGTTCTTTAGGATTTTCAGTGGGGGAGGTTACAGGGTCTGGCCCAGCACCTCAGCAACCCTACTGCTATATATTTCACTGATATTAACCTGAAACTGTCTTTCTGAGAGCAAATCCAGAGTTACCAAGAGCTGGTTATTCCTATGAAATACATAAAATCTGTCAAGGCTTTCACCCCTCCCCAGACTGTTCCAGCCCAGTCCTTGTCCCAGCTGCCTGCTCGCTGTGACAGCAGCTCCAGATGAGGTTCTGCCTCCTCGGGCAGGGCAGAAGGAGCATTCCCAATGCCATGGTTTCTGTTTCCCAATGCCATGGTTTCTGTTTCCCAATGCCATGGTTTCTGTTCTCCTGTTTATTCCTGCCAGCCTGGTGTTTTCACAGCAGCAGGACGCTTTTGACTCTTTTTCCTGCGCAGCTGTTCCCGCTCCAGATGTTCCCCTTCTTGCATTTGTGCAGATGATTGTTCCCACATACAGATCTTCCCAATTTGCCTCCTCTTTCTTAGTTTAACTCTTTTTTCTCTTTTTCCAGACCATGCTCAGTTTTGACCCTGGCTCCCTCCAGCTTCCTTTCAGTCCTTCCCACAATGGCAGAATTCACAAATGCAGCGATTTCTCTTGGTCAAGTCAAGTGCACAACTCTGGCTGGTGCCAGATCCAGCACAGATCACCAGCAATCTCATCAGCACACCTTTCCATTTTGATAATTACCCTCCAAATACGATTTCCAGATGGCTT